TTAGTTTAAAGCCTGGTGGAGCAGGTCAGCCAGTCTGGCTGAGAAGAGCCTCCTCCCCAGCGGAGAGAGGTGGAGGCCATCTCTTCCCAGCAGCTCACTGCCTCTCTCACCAAAGAGCGGACTGTGGTCATGGAAGCCAAAGCCTTCCCGATGACACCAGCGCCGCAGTCTTTGGTTTACTGCCTGGATCCTCCTCTCCCTCAGCCCGTAGCCTGAGACTGGGAGGATCAAATAAAACACCACCTGTGCCCCCAGACCCTTTAGTCCCGCTCCCAAATCCCTGTAGCACCTCATAACCTGACTGGGAGCACTCCGAGCCATGTCATTGGTGCCCACATGGATGAGGAGCACAGGGTAGTGGTCAGTGGGCTGGAGGAGCTTAGGGATCTTCTCAGCAATGTCTCGGATTTGGGCTCCCAGGAAGCAGCAAACTTCGTGGGCTAAGGGGTCGGGGAGGCAAATGACCCCCTCAGTCCCCCTCAGGATGGAGTCTCCCACGACAAACACTTTGTGTTTTGTCTTGGGGAGAGTGGGGGTGGTAGCTACAGTAATGTCTGTGTTGCCTGCAGGAGCTGGCAACTCAGCAGGTTCTGCTGGGGCTGCAAGAGGTTTGTACCTGTTGCAAAGCTCCAGCGGGGCAGGGGCCTTGGTGTGGCAGGGGCCTTGGGGCCCTTGACCACCTTGGTCCAACCCCTGGACTGGACAGTAAGGGAGGTCCTTGAGTCCGCCCTTGTCCTGGAGGGAGACCGTGGTCTACCCTCCGCCTCCCGGGGAAAAGGGCCTGGCAGTAGGAGTCAATCTGCTCATAGTCCCTGATGGCACACAGTCTCTGGAGTGCAGCCTGGAGCTCCTCCAGCTGGTGTGCCAGAGACCCCAGTAGGAAGCAGAACTCACAAAGTTTGAAAGATATGAGTTTGAAAGGTTTTCCTAATATCCAACCTAAACTTCCCTTGCTGCAACTTGAGACCATTGTTCCTTATTTTGTCATCTCTCACCACTGAGAACAGTCCAGCTCCATCCTCTTTGGAACTACCCTTAAGGTAGTTAAAGGCTGCAATCAAATCTCATCTGTCTTCTCATCTGAAGACTAAATAAATCCCAGTTCCCTCAGCCTATCTTGATAAGTCATTTGTCCCAACCCCCTAACCATTTTCATTGCCCTCTGTGGACTATCTCCAACTTGTCCACATCCTTTCTGTAGTGAAGGCCCTAAATTGGACACAATACTCCAGATGTGGTCTCACCAGTACATGGTAAAATGGAATAATTACTTCCCTCAATCTTCTGACAACATTTCTACTAATGCAGACCAGTATGCTGTTAATATTCTTAGCAACAAGGACACACTACTAACTCATATCCATCTTATTGTCCACTGTAACCCCCCAGTCCTTTTGTGCAGAACTGCTGCTTAGCCATTCAGTCCCCGGCCTGTATTTGTTTTTCTTGAACCTCATGATACTTCTTTTGGCCCAATCCTCCAGTTTTTCTAGGTCACTCTGAATCCTAACCTTGCCCTCCAGTGTATCTACTACACCCCCAGGGTTGGTGTCATCTGCAAACTTGCTGAGGATGCAATCCATCCCATCTTCCAGATTCTTAATGAAGATATTGAACAAAACTGGCCCCAGGACCAAACCCTGGAGCAATTTATTTGATACTGGCTGTCAACTAGACACTGAGCTATTGATTACTACCTGTTGAGTCCGACAATCCAGCCAGCTTTCTATCCATGTTACAGTCCATTCCTCCAACCCATATTTCCTCAGCTTGCTTGCAAGAATGATGTGGGAGACATTATCAAAAGTCTTGCTAAAGTCAAGGTATATTATGTCTACTGCTTTCCCTGGATTCACAGAGCCAGTTATCTCATCACAGAAGGCAGTCAGGTTGGTCAGGCATGACTTGCCCTTGGTGAATCCATGCTGACTGCTCCTAATCACCTTCTCCTCCAAGTGCTTAAAAATGGATTATTTGAGGACCTGCTTCATGACATGCAGCACCTAGGCTCCTAGTCAGATGCCACTGCACCTATTGCTCTGGCTGCAGCAGCAGCTTGGAGCTCAGGGACCTCCCGTCTTCCCCCACAGCTTCTGCTGCATGCCTCTACCCCAGGGGATGGAGCAGTACACTGTGGTTTAGCCCACAGTGCCAGGAGGGCCAGCAGTCAGAGTGCCTTTGTGGCATGGTGCCACAAGGGAGCCCACAGGGAGCTGAAAGGGAGGCAGAGTGCCATGCTGCACGAGGGAGCACCTGCCCATGCACTCAGTGCAGTGAGGATGAGGAAGCACCCACCCACACATGCATGTAGGGTGTGCAGCCATGGGGGAGGTCATGGTTCCCATTCATGCTGTCCCTACAACATGTGTTTCTACTGGTGCAGCCCATGGGATATATAGCCCCAGGCCACTTTGAAGTTGGACAGCCCTAATTTGCAGGATAGGATCAAATACACGATTAGCAAATTTGTGGATGATGCCAAGTTGGGTGGAGTTGCAGACATTCTGGCAGGGCCAAGATCCAGAATGACCTGGATAGTCTGGAGAAATGGCCCACAATCAATCAGATGAAATTCAACAAGGTCAAGTGCAGTCCTGCACTAGGGATGGAATAATTGCATGCCCAAATACAGACTAGGGAATCACTAGTCAGGCAGAGCAGGACCTGGGGGTC